TGGTGGAAGAGAGAGTAAGAGCTACACAGTACACCAAGCAATATTGCTCCTTCTTTCAAGTCATTTTTGCTAGTGCCCAGCAAAGTGCAGAGCATACAAAACACTCTATAATAAATACTTGTTGAATGAAAAAATAAATTTTAAAAAAGCAAGACAGAGAGCACAGGCCATATGAACTTACTCGTTTCTCAACTGGGACTTTGTTATAGTATCTGATTGAGTCCTTCCCAGGAAAGTCAAACTCTACCACATATTCCTGACCATCCAATTCTGGGTGCAGATTGATGTGTTCCACACGAAGTGAACAGCAACCCACAGTATCTGCTGTTTCTCCTTCTTCCTTCTCATTACCTGCTCTCAGAGCAAGCTGCCCAGGAAAGGGGTGGGATGGGGGAGGGAGAAAGAGACAAGCAGCAATGAAGAGATGAACCTCACAGTACCTCTAGGAAACCCCAAACCAGAAGCCTCCCAGTCTTCACAGCCTGGAGAGTCAAACACTGCAGTGCTATAACTCCTTCAGAAGCCACGGGGATACTCAAGAGATCCCAGCTTCTCTACTGTCCTTAGAAATGAAGACAGGAGAAAGAAAAGGATGTAACAAGGCAATAGATGAGGGCATTTCCGCCCCCCTCTGGGCAATCAAACTAAAAAAAAGATTAGTATCTTAATTTTGTGGGGATTCAGAATTTCTGCTAAAATGTAAGCAGTATAAAATTAGGGTAAAATAAAAATTGCTTTGAGAGTACTAAAAATTCAACTTTATAGCACTATCTTTCAAACCGTAGCTATAATAAATTACTCGTTTGTTTAACCTATTTTGGATGGTATAATGCCTTTTTCTAAAAGAATGAAACAGAAGAAATATCAGAAATCATTTCTTGTAGTTAAGTGGTAGTTTGTGCAACTTCAAATAAATCTGTTGGACTATGACCCAAATTTCTGTGTGTGTGGGGAGTCACGATCAAAAGAGTTTGAAGCATCACAATATTTTAAAACATGCTCAGATTCATGCAGATACTTCTTTTGGCAGACATACTGTAGATGCCTTGTGATCTGTATCCATCCTTACTGGGCTCAATTCAGTGTAGATCACATGGTAGGTAGCACATTGTGCACTCCCCACCCTTGTACTTGCAGAGCAGACACTCCTTATACCTGTTAAATTGAATACTGGCCAAAGCTGACAGGGAAGTGCTCCTACCTTGTCAATGAAGTACAGTGCTACAGCTCTCTGCCGGACTTTCATCTCCTTAGACTTCCAATCTTCCCGATACTGATTTCGGATCTTGTCCACACACTTCTTCAGCCGCCTAGCAGTCTCATATTTCTGCCAGTCCTTCTCACCCTGCAGAGACCCAACCCCAAAGGTGGACTGCTTACAAAAGAGTGGAATAACAGACTTTGAATATTTAGAGCTCTGAACCAAAAACCAGCAACCAGAGCTTAAGCAAAGTTGAAAAGTACAGAATTAAAGAGAAAGTCTGAGCCATTTAACCTGACAAGAATACATGCTATCCCGTTTTCACTGTCACTGACTCTTTAATTGCTAAGAACCTTCCAATCTATAAAATGCTCATGCTCTTGGTAAAAACCCCCAAACTGACTTCTGTCAACACAAAGGGCATAATAAGCAACCCTAATCCCCTGCTGCCGAGTTTAACATCTGAAAGCAGTTTTCTTCTAGCACTGAATTTCATTCATTCAAGACAGTCATACAGTTTGATGGAGCTATCAAAGAAACAGAACCAAAGACCACAACATGTAATTACTAAAGAACACAATGAGACTTCCAAGAACAGATGTAATTATTCACCATCTTCTAACTTACCCATTTATAAGTGTTCCCTGATTAGATTGAGAGAGAATGTTTCTGGGAAGATTTTTTTAAAAGAAAAAATTGGAACTTTTGGTACAATGGGTAGTTATGAAAATGTATTCAAAGACTGAAGCTACTCTGTCTGGTACTGTAAATGTATCCAAGAATCTGAGGCTGAGGAGCTCATAGGGATTACTAAGAAACCTATGACTATATTTTGCTTAAATGGACATACTATCTAACTGCCACATATTTATATATATACCACATATATGTACATATGTATGTGTATACTCCTAGATTAAGTGCAGTTCTCATCATCGGAAGTGTCTTTGTGCAGTGGATGGTTAATACACCTGTTTAGCCATAAATGGGACATCTGCCTTCCAAGGTTTAGGGAACATAGAAAGAGGGCAAAAAGATTCTAAGAGTCAGAGATCAAGAAGGGCTGGGGTCAGTTTCTTCTGGACATGACGGGAGCATTGTACTCATGAATTAACAGTAGCTGTGTCTGCCTGCATAAGATAAAGCCAGTCAACATTCTAGCATGGAAGAGGATAAACCTCCATCCTTGGCTGAAGAGCTATTGATCGTGGCTTGGGGGGGGGGTAATCAATTTTCTTTTCTCTTTAAAAATTTATTTTTAGGTGGATCCCTGTGAGTTTAAGACCAACCCGGTCTACATCATAAGTTCCAGGACTTATAATGGGGCTACAGGGAGATATTTAAATTTGCATGAGTGTTTTGCCTGCATGTATGTAAGCGTACCAGTGCGTGCAACACCCATGGAGGCCAGAAGAGAGTATCAGATCCCCTGAAACTAGAGATACAGACAGTTGTAGCTGTCATGTGAATGATGGGACTTGAACGCAGGTCCTCTGCAAGAGCAGCCAATGCTAGTAACTGCTGAGCCATCTCTCCAGCCCTTGTGGGGAAGGTGTCAGTTTGCTTTAGGAGTGTGGTCCCTGATAGGTTAAGCATGTTCCAGTAGATGCACCATGCCCATGTACAACCTAGATTCAGTGTGTTATTTTGTTTTGAAGAAGAAGAGGACATATAAAGTTAGAAAGGGATATGAGGGAGTAGGATCCAGGAGGAGTTGAAAGGAAGACATATGGGAGGGGAATATGACTAAACTACGTGGTATGAATGTATGAAATTCTCAATAAAAAATATAAAAGATGGGTGCTAGAGAGATGGCTCAGTGGTTAAGAACACTGACTGTTCTTACTCCAGTTCCAGGGGATCCAACAGCCTCTTCTGACCTCTGCGGGCATTGCGCGACACGGGTGCACTTACCTACGTGCAGGCAATGCATGCATACACATAAAATAAAAAATAATAAATAAAAAATTAAATAATAAATAAATAAAATAATAAAAGAAAACTAGCTGGGCATGGTGGTGCACACCTTTAATCCTAGCACTCTCAGCAGAGGCAGATGGATCTCTGTGAGTTCTAGGCCAGGGTGGTCTATAAAGCGAGTTCCAGGCCAGCTGGGTCTACAGGGAGACTCTGTCTCAACAAGACCAAAAACAAAAGACTGAAGCTAAGCAATGGATTTCTGCTACCATCTTCAGTGGAAGTAGACTCAGAAAAAAGGACTAATATGTCAATTAAGAACAGGAAGGGGGGGGGGATAGCTCCAGTTCCAGGGGATCTGACAGCCTCTTTTGTCCTCTGTGGGCATTGCACGACATGAGTGCACTTACCTACATGCAGGCAATACACGCATATATATATATAAAAAAATAAAATGCATTTTTAAAAAGTAAAAATTTTAATTAAAAATAAACAGGAAAGGGGAAAAATATCAAGAAATCCCAGACAGGTAGAGTCACAAGGTACAAAACTGACTACATGACATAAGCACATGAAAAGAACTAAGAACCCAAGAATCAGGGGCTGGAGAGATGGCTTAGTAGTTGACAGAACTTACTGCTCTTGCAGAGGCTCCAAGTCCAGTTCCCAGCACCCATGCCACATATCTCACAACCACCTGTAACTCTAGTTCCAGGGCTATCCAATGCCTCTGGCCCCTGCAGGCACATGAACTCATGTGCACATATCTATACACAGGCACACACACAAATATACAAATACTTAAAAGAACTCAAATCTCCTCACAAAGGAGAGGAGGCAGTGATTTCCTCCCACATGTCTAATTTCCACCTGAGACAAGAATCTAATCAAAAAGGATCACCTGAAATCCTTGAGACACAAGAACTATGATCAAATTAACTAGTTTCTGTGCATGGAGAAGCATGAGGTACACAGAACAAAAAATGCCCATTGCCTATTAGATCTTAGCAAATGCTCAGAAAGCTGGGTGCGGTGGCTTATACCCTTAATCCCGTTAGTCAGGAGGCAGAGGCAGAAGATCTGTGATTTGAAGACCAGGTAGGGCTACATAGTATGACCCTGTCTCAAAAGAAACAAATGCTGAGAAAGCAATGCTTATATGAATATACTAAGGAGCTGTCAACATTTCCCCATAGTGTTTGTACTATTAGTGTGGATTGGTCGGGTTGTAAAACAAGAGGTTTAATAACTAATACACAATCTTTTTTCTTGGGGAATTGAAAATTTCTCACTGATTTCTCCAAGTATATTTTGACATTTAAGAAATTAAAAAGAAAAAGCATGATATAAGCTATTCTCCTTTATACAATAATGAATGAATCTTCACCAGAATTTTTTTTACTTAAAAAAAAATGTATTGAGAATTTCATACATGCATATAAGGTGTTTTGATCAAATCCACATCACCACTCCTTCCTCTCCAACTCCTCCCACATCTCCTCATCACTTTTTCCTGACAACTTCATGTACTCTTTTTTTCTTTTATGGGGCTTTTTACTACTCTAACCCTCCCACCCCAAGAGGTAACCCTAAAGTCCACCAGAATTTCTTATACATATACAGAGAAAGAAACACACACACTCACATAACCTCTTCCTTATAACTCCAACTCACATAGGTAGCAAGTCTTGATATATAAGGTAGTACAGAGAAATAAAAGTTTAGAAAAATCTAACAAGTCATGTACACAGGACACCAGTAGATCAACTTTCCTTCACATGGTCAGGCTCCTGGAACAAGGATCCAAACTTATCTCAAGAACACTGAAGTGGGGGTAGGGAGTGGGAACAGAAACAAAGTCACATCGAAACCATCTGGGAAAGTCCTTTTGTACTTCAGAAGTGTGATGACTGGGTTTTCCTGCCAGTGTAAGAGATGTACCTCCATCAAACTCTGTTACCACATCAATGCATTACTGATATGGCATGGAAAAACGTATTTTAGTAAAGCAAGGTATCTATTGTAGGAGGCTTTGACTCTTCTTCTTTTCCAACTCAGTCACCTCTCCATATTGGGCAGAAATCTTAATGTGGTTTAGTTATATATGACATCCTTTGGGTGACTTTTATAAACCAGTGGGCTGACTATACTTATCCATTCAACAACATGGGTAGATGGAGTCAAGATTACAAAACAGAAAGTGAGGTGAGCTAGAACCTGTCTTCTAAACCACTTCCTCTTCCTCAATGTTCCCTGAGCCCTGGTTGAGCCTCTCCATTGACTGGCTGCTGTCAACTGCAAAGAGAAGTCTCTCTGATAAAGGCTGAGAGCAGCCCAGGTCTGCCAACAGTGCAAGCTGGGCAACCACAGGCATTTGGACCAAGTCTGTCACTATCTTCAATAGTTCTTCTCACCTGGCTAGTGTTCTCTCAATCTGCCATGGTGTAGAATACCAAAAGGTACCTGGCATTTTGACCCCCAATCATACATCATTTAAAGAAAAGACACAACAAACTGGCTCAGTTGTTAAGAGCACTGCTCTTGCAGAGGACCCAGGTTCAAATCCCAGCACTGGCATGGTGGCTAACAGTCATCCATAACACCAATTTCAGGGGATCTGACACCCTGAGCATTGCAACTTACACATATGCAGGCAAAATATTCATAAAAATATGTATAAGAATATATTTATTTCTCAGTGGCAATGCAGAGTTACAAACTACTTAAGGGGAAAGACGGCTCAATGGTTAAAAGCACTAGCTGCTCTTGCATAGGACTGGGGTTCAGCTCCCAGTACACTGCTATCTTGCTAGGTAAAGACACCCTAAGAAAAGACTGAGAGCAAGTTTAAGAAGTCACAGATAAGCCAAGTGTGGTGGCACACGCCTTTAATCCCAGCACTTGGGAAGCAGAGGCAGGCGGATCTCTGTGAGTTCAAGGCCAGCCTGGTCTACATAGTGAGTTCCAGGACAGCTGGGGCTACAGGGAGACCCTGCTTCAAAAAGATAAAAAAAAAAAGAAGTCACAGATAAAACCTTTTCATCCCCTACCCCCAAGATTACCACCTTTCCAAAACTGCAATGATTCTTTTTAGGATCTTATTCTAGTTGACTCAAGTCAGGCATTCCATCTTGGTTACAGGAACCTGGACAGGGCCTATCTCTGGTGGCTCCCAAGTTTTCTACCCTAACCATCATGCAGAGACCTATACAAATGCTTACTGTGTAAGGCAGTTTTCTGGGTATTATCTGGAATACAACCAGGTAGCTTTCTGCTCTGGCTGTAGAAACCAGGTGTTCCTGCTGGCCTGCCAAACAACAATCTTGAGAGGGTTACAGTCCACTGAAATCTCTGCCTATAGGAGCACACAGCAAACACATATTTGGTCCCCCTCTCCATTCCCATTGCCATCGACTGCCTAGTAGGGCACTACCATTTCTTGCCTGGAATACAACAGCAGCTTTCTCTTGTCTCTTAATTTCCTGTTTGTATCCTATCCAGTCTCCACAGAGTAGTAGTCAGAATGATCAATTATGCTACAAGCCTCTAAAATACAAGTCTGGTATTATTTTCTTCTTTTAAGTCTAGGTCAGTAGCTTCCTTTTGGACCTAGGATGCTATAAAAAAAAAAGGGATCTGAAGACATGGCCCACCTAGGCCTCTACAGAGTCCTCTTCATGCCTCTTTCTTGCTCACAGGACTCCAACTACACTGGCCTTTATTCTGTTCTCCAAACTATGCAGCTCTTTCTCATGGCAGAGATATCAAAAAGGTCATTTTCTCTCTTTAATGCTCATTCCTCTTTTTTTGTCTTTCAAGGGATAAAAACCCTACCCATCCTCTAAATTTAACCTAAAATATTATGTTCTTGGAAAGGCCTTTTCTGAAGCTAAGGTGATATTAGGTCCCTTGGTATAGTATTCTATACTTCTGCTCAGCAGCATTTATCGTAGTTCATATTTATTGATGTGGCTACATGTCATGCATGTGACTCTTGCTGAAGTTAGGTAACCTATGTTCCAAACACTCCATTCAAAGTCCTTCTGTGGTGGTCCACCTGGAGCAGAACATAGTCTTCTCTTTGGCATGTTATTTAAGGCTGACCACAACTGAGCAACAGGATATCATGGGAAAGCACGAAGAGATAGACTATCTAAGTTGCAGACTAAGAAGATTGGAGTTAAAAGTTACTAGCTATGAGAACCAGGACAGGTTTTGTGTTGTTTTTGTTTTTAAGCTCCCATAGACTAAATTTACTGATCTACAAAGTGGAACCATAAATATATGCCTGTTATGGTTACTAAGAGAATCATGTCAACTCGTATGATAAAGCTTTTTAAGACTAAAACAATACTCAATTATAACTGATGAATTTCTTATTGTGGCGAAATATACATAACCTAAAATTTACCATTAGTGACATTTACAAAGTTCACAATGTTGTACAACTGCCACTATTTGATAGTTATGTGGTGTATGCAGATTGTGCTGTACGGTGTATTCATGTCTGTGCAGGTATGTATCCCTGTGCAAGAATGAGGAGACCAGAGGCAATTGGGTGACTTTCTCTATTGCTCTCTACCTTATTTTTTAGGACAGGGTCTCTTACTGCACCTGAAGATCACCATCTCAGCTAGGCTGGCTGGCCAGCGAGCACCCAGGATTGGCCTGTATCATGCCCCTCCACACTAGGGTTACAGGCACACACACCCATGCCTAGCTTTTGAGTAATCTCAGGTTCTGCTTTCTTTGTAACTGTTCTTATCAATTGAGCCACCTCCCCCAACCCTACTTAATATTTTTTTGTGAGATTTTTTTGGTTATTCCTTTTCATATCCCTGTACATCTCAATATATTCTCTACTTAAACTCCTGCTTTGTCCAGATCTACACAAATCTGTCTGTAGGATCTCTTTGAAGTCCACTTTGATGTTGAGGATAACTGCTCTATTAATAAAAAATAACTCTTACACAGGACTTGGGTTCATTTCCCAGGACCCACATGGCAGCTAACAACTGTCATTTCAGCTCCAAGGGATCTGATGCCCTCCTCTGGCCTCTCTGGGCATTGCACATATGTGGTAAACTTACATACGTGCAGGCAAAACACTCATATACATAAAAATAAATAAAAAATTTAATGGCATCTAGGTGTGGTAGTGCACACCTTTAATCCCAGCACTTGGGAGGCAGGTGGCTCTGTGAGTTCAAGCCCAGCCTGGTCTACATAGCGAGTTTCAGGCCAGCTGGGGCAAAAGGAGAACGCTGTCTCAAAAAGACCAAAAAAAAAAAAAAAAAAAAAAAAAAAAAAAAAAAAAAAAAAAAAAAAAAGAGAGAAAAATTATATGGCATGCTCTTTCTGATTCTACATTATGAACTAGAAAAACTGTATTTTCCAACTGATTTGAATAGAGTATACAGATGGTATTTTTCATTAAGGAAGTAGTAACATGTATAAGAACACAAAAGTATGAGCCGGAAAGTGTGCAATTTACATAATCATTTTGATCTGTGACTCTCACATCTTAACAGATGCTAAATTCTTATAAACCAGGATTAAGGTCTTTACTTCAGTCTCTTGAATGTAAAACAGCTACAGTCTATACAGAACTAATTCCTTGGCTATTTTTGCGAAGCCTAGCTCATTTCCATAATATGTCTGAGGGAGAAGCTTATAGAACTCTCTACAGCAGGGTGTTAGCTGCTGGCTTACAAAACACCAAGACATTCTCTTTAATGAGTCTATCAATTAAAAACAACACATGGGTATATAACATAGTACATAATGGGTTTTCACATACACCAATTGCATCTGGCCCTGGAGGAACCTATTCAGATGAGATCCTAGGAAGCCAGAAGTATGCAAAACTATAGATTTTTACACCTTGTTTCTGTATTCAGAGAAGATATACTCCTAGACTTTCCACATATGCCTACCACAGTCTTCATCACATTCTGACCACAGGAGAGGAAGTTGGGACTGTGAAGGCAAGAGCTGTGCCTGTGTCGTTAACCAGTAAAATTCTATGAGTATGAATATACTGTATTTGGAACATATTGGGATTTCAGCAAGTATTTATAAGTAAGTAAAATTACAATCTTGACACAAATCTGATACAACTTAGGGAGGTTACCAGATAATGCTAATTATGAAATCTCTTTTCTTCTTTTGGGGAGAGGGTAAGTTTTTAATTTGTTAAAGTGAGTCTAAAGAGGACATTATATTTCATCCAAAAAAGAGATTATCAGCTCCACTAATGGGTGTGGCCCATTGCTATACTTACCTTGATTCGTGAACTGGGATTCAGCATTATGTATTTAATGGAACCTTGGATGTTCTCTGTCCAGGAGACCAGCCAAGTAACCTTATTATCATGTCGGACTTCTTTCCACTTATGTCCTGGAGGAGGAGAAGGAACCTTGGCATCTCTGTGGAAATAATCAAGCAGGAGGGAGTGAAATGAAGTGACAATTTCACCTTTCATAACCAGAACTGGACCTATCTGCCAAGGATGTATTTCCGAGATCACTCCTCACAAGCCAATCCTGAAAAAAAAAAAACACTTCGAGATATACCAATGGAATTACTAGCCTGCTCGTGTCCATCGCCTTCCTAAACAGTCCTTGCTAACGTGAGAACAGTCCCAACCACCAAAATACAGGAAAGCTCCACCTTAATTCTGCCCCAAAGGATGAACTTCTGTGCTCACTTGCTACAGTTGATGATGATGTCCTCAGGCATGATCCTCCTTTTCAGCATGCCCATCTTGGGGTGGTTGCCTCGGCCACGGAATAACCCAGGAGGCTCGATCTTGAAGTTGGCAATCCTTTCTCTATGATTATCCATCACACAGAAGCCATATTCTTTCAGTAATTTTTCATTTTCTTCTTTGATTTTCTGGAATACAGCAAGTACTCAAAACGGATTCAAACTGCTGTGTTCTAAGACTTATCTATTTTTATCTCTTGTGGGAGAAAGGTCAAGGT